CGTACAGCAGATATATATATATATATATATATGGTGGAATGTGTGCATGTATGTGTGTATGTATGTGTATAGAGAGAGAGAGTGAGTATGTGCAGAGACATGTTTTGATATAGGTCAGATGGACATGGAAACCCATTGAAATCAATTGGTTTATTCATGAATACAGTAAACTGATTCTATAATAAACAGCATATTTAATTTAGTATATTTAAATAAATTTACTCAAGAAATTGAATATGGCATTGTGTGAACTAAATAGATAGCAAGGCTTTGCTAAAGTTGAGTAGAGGCCTTGAGATTGTTTTAATCCCACAAAGCTCTGTGCTGTGGATTTAGCAAGGCATAGGACAGAGGAGTTATAAACAGAATGTAACCCCTAAAAAGAAAAAAATGCTCCTCTGTTTCCTCTGTTACAGTGGAGGAGGAAGACTGAAATAGCTCTGTGGAAACATGTTGGGCCACTTGGATCGCCCTTATTGTTGGCATGTTTCACCTTCATTGTTCTTACACAGAAACTCTACCATACTCACCCCTTTCTCCTTTCCCTCAGTTCCCTCAGACATACAGTAACCACCTAGACTGTCAGAAAAATTAGTTTTTGATGACAGATACAGATATATAAACACACACACAAAACACACATATACGAACACACACCTACACATACACACACTTTTTTTTTCAGAAGAAAGAGCCAGCAGAAACCTAGAATTTATTTGAGTTTCAGCAGCTTTTTCCCCCCTATAGTATTTGAAAGCTTATTCACTTTGGAGTATTTTTTATTCAGGATGTACCTTATTGATTCATTAAAATGCTTTTCTGAAAAATGAGTAAGTATTATGTGGGTTGCTTTGGAATTACCAGAGAAATCAAGGACAAGATCAAAAGTTTAGGGAACAGAAGATTTCTTCTTGATTTCATGAGATTCATTATTGCATTCTTGGGCTTTTAAGTCCATCTCTTGAGCACCCTCACTGGGAGATCTGTGACATTACATTGGGTGATATAGATAATGTTACCATCATGGATTGAATTTCTGACACAATATGTAGTAAAACTATCATCTGTTTGGGCTCATAGTTAGAAAGTTTCATGGCAAAAGTCAATTGGCAAAGTCATACCAGCCTATTAAATTAAGGGTGAAGTTGTCTGTCAATATTGTCATGTTAAATTTGTACAATATGTTATCAGATGGGCAAAAAGTTTGTAAGCAAACATTTGTGTCAACTAAGTATGTATTTTGAGCTCAGTTATTTAGAGAAAATAAGAGTTCAACATTTCACTTCTGCCAAATACTTGAACCTTAGCATAATTTGTTGGGATCAGTCAAGTTGGCTTATCTCCTTTTTCCCTCTGATACAGTATTGAAATTTAAGATTTGAGTTAAAAAAAATGGCAAAAAGAATAATGATCGATCCAAAGTTTATGTCTGAATATTTTGAATTTCAGAACTTATTTATGAAGTTTATAAATGAATGATAAATAACTCCAAGCAAGTTAGTGCTATCTGTCATGTCATATAAATGCAAAAATTAGAAATGCAAAAACATTAAATTTACAAGACATAGGCTTTATGGAAATAGTCTGGAAAATCTGTCTCAGTAGCTGTATTCTAAGGGCATTGCCTTTTCATTTCTACTGGGAGCATTGTATCAGCAATGAAGGCCACTGTTCCAGGTGTGCCTGATCTTAATAAACACCCGTTCTTAAACTGTTCGCATACAGTATATAAATTTTAAAGAGCATTAGCACACAGCAACTGCCTAAGGGCATATTCAGCCAACAAAGTTGACTTTTCATTTTAAAATAAAGCCCATGGGTCATTTATATTGCAGCATGTTTGTTTTGAATTCATGAACTGGTATTTATCTGCAAGCAAACCTGACTCATTTTTGTATGTTTGTTCTCTCTGTTCTTAGGCTGCCTTCCAGGAGAATGTTGGTAGACAGGTAAGGTAACTTAGAAAAGACACAAACCCTTTCATTTAATTTCTTGTAAACCCACTGTAGCATAAAATTAAGCATAGGTGCTTTGTCACTTCTAGCAGCTTATAGGAGGTTTGGTGAATTTGGATAAATTTAAAATTTTAAAATTATCTTCCATTCTTAAAAATGAAATTATGTTTCAGAAATTATGATGTTTCAGAATATTTTTCTGAACTGAATCTTCAGCTTTTCAGAAATCAGCATGCCCAAATACTATTTCTTATAGTTTAGCACTATTCTAAAGTTTCTACTGGATTCATCTATATATCTGTATCTACACACACACACACGTACACACACACATGTATATGTATAAGTATATGTATGTATGTTAGGACATATCTATGGCATGATAGCTTTTTTCCAGTTCTCAAGAATAGTCATTTTCCCCAACTTTCATATAAGTCTTTGTTGCTCCAAAAATGACTAGCATTATCCAGACAGAAACATCATCCAATCTAAGTGATTTGACTCTATAGGGAATATCTATGAGAAGAGAAGGGGAATGTATTTTGCTCAAATAAATATGAATTTTTAAAACAGGAAAACAATATTGTGGCATGCTATATGAAACTATTTCCTTTTTGCATATGGAAGGCTATATGATAAAGAGTGAATATTTACACAATATTCACTATTAAATAAAATAAAAGTATAGATTTCAGGAACAACTTTTAACATTTGTTGATAAAAATGAGATTTCCTGGTGGGTATATTATAGAATATTTCCTCCCTCCCTCCCTCCCTCTTCTATATATTCTGTGTGCCTGCCTGCAACAGTTATATAAATATATGACTAGCAATTTGGGTTATACAGTTAGGACTAGGGATGTGCAGAATATTTTGGTCTCAGAGTTTCCAACATCAAAATGTCTGTTTTGAGTGGCCTATGCATGGAAGAAAACACAAATTTGTTTTGACACTAGAACAAAGCTTCTCTATTTTAAGAGACATTGTTTTGAATTTTCCAACTTTTCGAAGCATTACAGTTGAGTTGGGCTGTTTTGTACCTTGTGATTGGACTGCTTTTTTCCAAAATTTTTCTAGTTTAACCAGTACAGCACCATGTCCCTGTTCCTATTGGTTTACCTTGGATGGTGTGGGGTGGGAGCAGAGCATTTAAAAAAAATCACATGGCCAGATAGAAAAAGAAGACTTTTTACAGCAGTTAGCCTCCCACTCTGCCTGAGAAATTACTGCTGTTCTTCTTCTTCTTCTTCTTCTTCTTCTTCTTCTTCTTCTTCTTCTTCTTCTTCTTCTTCT